ATCAGCTCCCGCCTGCAATGCGCAGCTACCTCCCTTCCTCCCCCCCAAATCATCGGTGAACGAAACTGCGGCAGCTACAACCACTGTACGACGAGTACGCGGTTATTACAGCTGATAATGATAATGATGATGATGATGACGAGGTCGCTAATGATTATTACACTGGTGATGAGGATGACGATGCTATCGAAAGGAGCGGGACCAGTCATGCTGGTGGCAGGGATAAAAGAAATGAATGGAAATGAACCAGCGTTGGCTTCCGAAAATCTCTGAGGGAGATAAACTCAAACGAAATGAGAAAACGTGCCAAGACAGAGTTACATAAAGACTCCAGATTTCGACCTGCAACCAGCTGCTAATCAATTGGGAGAAAAAACACTACTTTTCATTCGTCGGTTGTGCTTGCGCTGTCGGAAACGGACAAGAAAGAATGCCGTCTGCTGGTAAGATACACTATCTAGCTAGGTATGCATTCCTTCATGGATCTTGTGGGTAGTTGCCTCGCTAGGTTCCCTATGGTTACATGACGTCTTGCGAAGCGTATCCGTATTGCTGACAGTCGTTCCTTTTACAATGTCACAAACGTGATGAGAGATGCGAAAGAAAAACTGGACGTTTTTGTTGGTTAATTGACAGTCACGAAAACTCTTGATGTGGAGTACACTAAAATCAATATACTGTGTGGCAGAAAGCATGTGTAGAGCGCTGAGAGAGCATAACCTAATGTGAATGCCCTTCACGCCCACAAGCTGTTCTCTAGCACGGCCTGATTTTCTTCGGAGCCGCTTTGTACAGAGGAAAGAGTATACATCTATTTGAGAAGTTTCGGTCAGACTAAACGCGTGAATCATCATCATTATCGACACCGATCCTTCACCGCCGTACAACTATGATTTATTTGAAAGCCCTATTGTAAAGAAACTACTAAGGGTGAACGGGGAAGGGACTTAGTGCTAGCTTACCACAATCATTCCGAGGTGCCTACATCTTCAGACATTCACTCAGCCAATCTGGATAAAGGCTGACAACAAGAAGGCTATTGACATCGGTTGACAGCCATATCTTGTAGTCTCCAACCATACACAGTGAGGATCACGCGGTCCCCATTCTGTAAGGCGAGTAGCACCGACAGCACCCAAGCGTTTCATGATCTCCCTCATACTCCTCTGCCAAGTTAAGGGTTGGCCACCTCTCTGTTTACGCCACTCTGAATGGAAAACAGCACTCTCTTCGGCAAACGATGGTTCGGCATACGCAACACAACCAACGCAGCTTCTGGTGCTGGACAGAAGCTGCCTGTCGCGCTTACCCCGAATGTTCGGAATAACACTACGAGTGCTTCAAAGTAGTCAAACTTCTTGACCAATCTATTGCATACACTAAGTCAGTACTTGGTTACAGAGACAATCCCCGCACCTGTCTTCTGTAGGAGAAGACGGTTCTGATCGGCCTCACGGACGGTCATTTTGTACTGTTGCCTGATAGGACCCCGTGTCCCTCAAGGCTCAGATTAGCACGTATATACCAATCTGCTTGTGAAACCAAACGGGCAAATAAACAACGCGGGAACAACACTGCACGCCCACTCGCCTACTGAATGGGTATTCTACTGGTCGATCATCAGACTACACTCCATCTCCGTCATGTTTATACACCTGAAATTGCATAATTGGGACCCGTGTGTGAAGTCCACAATGTGGCAGCCCAGCAAAAATGTTTGGCGAGAATTGTTCAGTTTGGTTTGGTTCTTCAACAACTGCAGCTTCGTTCGCTGAGGATAGGGAGAATAACGGGATGGGAGTCAAGTGTTGCAGACGACCGCTTAGTCAGGTCATTGTCGTCGAATGGATGGGTTTGTCCAATATGGTAAGGGGTGAGAGCTACGCAGTGGAGGCGACAGCTTGGGAACACGGGCTATAATGACGAGGCGACACAGCCTTATGCGTCAGAATGACTAACCATTCGTTTGGCCCATTCCGCGATTCTCGCGGAGGCGGCGACAGTTACCAAAGAGACTCACTTAACTGGGAAGGACCCCCATGTTTCATTGCTAAGTTATACACTGCTTATCAATGGGTCGACTAGATCAGATACAAAGCTGGGGGAAGAGGCAAACGGTCTTCTGACAAACGAAGTAAGTGGCGCAACCCGTGGTTTGTGCGGTCAGCTGATCTATCGACGGACTATTGGGAGACTACAGATGGACCATTGTACACTCTACCCTTGACATTCAAGCTGATATTACGTCGGTGCCACGAATGCCGGCACAGCCAGACAGGGTCTGCTGTTGAGAATCGCGAAATGGTGTCACATTGCAGTAACGTCGTTCTCACAGGACTGTTCAAGTGCATATTCACTGAGTGCATATTCACCGAGTTTGTTCTCCATGGGAACGAGCAGCCACTTGCGCAATCTGTTTTTGTATCTCTCGTGTCACTGTGGCATTGTCAGAGGATTGTTTTTCCTTTGGTAGCTTCGGCCACGACAGAATTGTCACCTTCCACCCGTGTTTAGATTTGTGTCCGTCTGTGCAGCGTCGATCATTGTTACTGTGATATTGTCATTGTTGTCACTAAGACACGCCGCTTTTCGTCCATGGATTTTGCTTACCAATTCAGCGCGTGTGAAATGATCAGCTGACTTTGAATAGCTTCACCACCATAACTGACGTGCTCTCCAACTAGAAGTGACTGTCTGTTTGGATTCTGATCTATTCGAAGATGGGGATCTCCGTGTACTTCTCTTTGGTTGCAAAATCAGCCTTGAAGTCCCTCATCATTTTCCGCTAACGTAGACCGCTTTCCGTCGACATAAAGTTGCTACGAGCCATCAAGTGCCAGGCCTTGAGTTGTGTATCACTGGCCTACCGGAAGGTCAAGTTGCNCTGGTGCTGGACAGAAGCTGCCTGTCGCGCTTACCCCGAATGTTCGGAATAACACTACGAGTGCTTCAAAGTAGTCAAACTTCTTGACCAATCTATTGCATACACTAAGTCAGTACTTGGTTACAGAGACATTCTGTAGGAGAAGACGGTTCTGATCGGCCTCACGGATGGTCATTTTGTACTGTCGCCTGATAGGACCCCGTGTCCCTCAAGGCTCAGATTAGCACGTATATACCAATCTGCTTGTGAAACCAAACGGGCAAATAAACAACGCGGGAACAACACTGCACGCCCACTCGCCTACTGAATGGGTATTCTACTGGTCGATCATCAGACTACACTCCAT